CAGGGAAAGGGGTTGTTTGCTGTGGAAGTACAGCCCTCTCTCTACTCTTCTTTTTGCTGCTTGCCTGTTAAATACATCTTTCTCCCTTCCCCCGTCACCATCCCCTTGTTTTCTCTGCCCAGCCCTACCAGCCTCCTCTGCCGCTCCTGCCGGTCCCGCAGCAGCTCTGTGGCTCCTCTCCAGAAACATGGGGGGCAGCTCTCTTGTGTTAATCACCGTGTAAGCCTTGGAGCCAAAGCCAGCAGGTTTTGTACCAGGAGGGCAGGACAGATCCAGGTCTCGCTGATACCCGGGGGGCAGAGGCAGTGCCCCGGTAACAAGCTCAGCCCCGAGCAGGAGGCTGCAGCGAGTCGCCCAGCGGCGCGGCCGTGTCCTGCGGGCCAAGCAGGGCTTCTGCAGCCCTGGCTGCGGCTCTGGGTACTTTCTGCAAACAGATTTTGTTCCTTACCCCTCAGGATTCGTTGCAGGATCGCTGAGGAGTTGTCGCAGGGATGTCCCCCAACACTCTGCAGACTCGGATGTCAGAGGACAGCTGCTCCGCGCACCTCACCAGCTCCTTCGGCGGCTCACTGGGGGCTGGTGGCCGCTCTGCTCTGCCTGAGGAGGCATTTCGTCAGGAGGTGGAGGATAGCTCTTCCTCTAAACCGATGCTGTCACGTGAGGATAACAAACAAGCCTGGAAGAAGTGAAACCCAGCCTTCGAAGGCTAACCGGTTAATTAATCACTAATGACTGTGCTATATTTAATTCATCTTATTAATTCTGATTCTAACTCCCTCTATCTCCTAATTTTTCCCCAATCTTTTGTTTTGGACCTTACAGATCACGTGTGAAATACCTATGGTTTTTAGCCTGGCACAGACCACCTGAAAATCAATGCAAACATGTTTATTCTTAAAGTTTTTAGCCAGGCGGCCTGCCGGGCCCTCACTCACACTGCCCGCCATGCTGCTGAGCCAGGACTTGCACATCTGCCTTGCAAGCCACCCGCCTTGCGCCTTCCTACCCCTCTTTCCACGGAGCAAACGAAAGCCTGGGGATGAGCCCATTTACCTGGTTCGCAGGGCGCAGCACATGAGGCCACGATAAAACCCCCAAGCCCCGTGGTTCCCTCTGCGCATCTCCTGCAGGGCCACGGGCCTGCGGCGTTCCTGCTGCAGAGGGCAGCTGGCTGCCCGGCCCCTGCTCCTCGGGCTGCTCTCGCCGTGGACTTGCAAGTCCGGTACAACCCAGGTGCCACTGGGGTGTTTTGACCGGTCAGGGATGTTCTCCTCTCTCTGAATGGCCCTGCTCGGGTCGCGTTGGCCAGCTTGGCCGCATGGGCTCCCTGCCGGCACCAGCCCTGGGCTACGGCAGCAGGGCGGTGGGCTCGGGATCTCGTGCAGCGTGTCGTGAGGGTGCAGCAGGGCTGATTTCCCCTCCTCACTTTGGAAACTGTTATTTGCTGTTGTTTGCAATCTCAGCGCTAAAAAGCAGACTGAATGGCCCTGCTCGGGTCGCGTTGGCCAGCTTGGCCGCATGGGCTCCCTGCCGGCACCAGCCCTGGGCTACGGCAGCAGGGCGGTGGGCTCGGGATCTCGTGCAGCGTGTCGTGAGGGTGCAGCAGGGCTGATTTCCCCTCCTCACTTTGGAAACTGTTATTTGCTGTTGTTTGCAATCTCAGCGCTAAAAAGCAGAGGTAAAAGGAGTTATCTTGTAAAGGCAAATAGTAAACGTTTTCTTTTTTAATAACCCCTCTTCAGGTACTAATCTCTGCTGTGAAAGCTGCATCTCAGTGGAACCCTCTGCTGCTATTACACTCTCTAAGCTGTTTTCCAGAGAACTTTCCATAACTGTTGTCAGTGATGTGATGGATCTGCAGGGAGGGCTCTTCAACGGGACACGGCCGAGCCCAGGCTCCCATCCCCTGCCGCCTCCTCCCGCTGCCCCAGCGCTCCCCAGTGCTCTCCCCTACACCCTGCAACATCTCCGCGTGGGTCAGCAGATGCAGGGAAGAGGAGCTGGTCCTGATGGGAGAGGGAGAGAATCATACGAATGCAAAGAAACAGCATTATATTCTGCCAAAGTTGATCTTGATAAGTTTTCATGGTCAGTTGCAGGCAGATAACTGGGACGTTGCCATCCAGGAGCATGTGGTCTCTGTGCTGGCAGCCCTGTCTGCCTTTATTAACTTTTCTGATTCATTTCTGGGGTCCAGCAGTGCTTATCTGCATGGGAAGGTTAATGTGCGATAAGATAAAGAGCAGCTGAACGCATGGTTGTTCTTCCAGAGTAACCACGTAGATTAAACCAAGCAGGAGCAAGGCTGAGATTTGTCCCACCATTTTTTGGTGCCAAGAGTCATACTGAGAGGCTATATCCCGGTCCCAGCGCTCTCCCGTCTGCCAAGTCACCCTGCAGGAGTGCTTCTCCCTCCCCTTGGCTGAAGAAGGGCATTTAATATCTTAAATGTGGTGCCACTAGCCATTTAACGACGTATTTTTGGGGAACCCTGTCATGACTTGATGCATTGTCTGAAGAGATGCTGTGAGCAGTTGACAATGAATTGCTGCACACCTTCTGCCATGTAGGAATTGCACAGGGACTCTTGCTGTAGCTAAGGATAGCAATTATATTCATCTGAACCCAAAACTCATCCTGAGGATTCATTAAAGGCCTCTGTAACTCTCTGACTCTTTTCCAAAAGGGAAAGTCTTTTAAATTACTAAGTTACAACAGTTACAGTCGCACCAATAATGAGTGTTTGGCATCCATCGCTGCTACCTTCAGTACAGCAGTTTTCCAAAATATCTAAGATTCAGTCAAAAGGATATCTTGCTCTCCACAGTCACACTTTCTTTTCTCTAACTGAATCCAGTTTTCTAGTTTGTTTGCTTGCCCCATATTTTTGAACTCTTTGATTAGTGTCCACTTTAAAAAAAATACTTAAAAATCAACATCACTTGTAAGCTGATTGCTGCGAGGACTGAATGCTGCCTACTTATGGTCTCCTTGCCAATTAGCACTCTGTTATTCACAGATGATGATGCAGTAAATATGAGGAAGCAGTATTATACCTCCCGTGAAAGGATTTTTCTATTCAGGTACTGTCATTGATATGGCATAGACTGGTGAGTTTGTGCCCATAAAGTTAATATTATTTTATTCAATTTATAGTCTCCACATGTGCCTGATTATGTGTCCGGATTTTGGTTGAGCAGACTTCACGTGTTCCACTATTGAATACACCTGGGTTTCTTTTGATCATTTTTTTATGTTGCCGAGTGTCAACTTTTATACAGCTGAGTTACTCATAATCAGAGTCTTATTCTGGTCCTTACTATAAAAATAAAGAGATATGCAGTGTTGGCCTTGGGGACTTGCAGGTTGGCACGGTGCAGAGGAACCGCCATACACAAATTTTGGGGGAGAGACCACTAAATGCAAATTCAGGTGCAATTAAATCGGGGATCAGCCAGATCTGGTGGTCTGGCTCCACCGACTCCTTCAGGATGGATGAAACCCTGTAGATTTGCAGGCATCTCCATTAATTAACGTCTCGGTGAAGGAAAAAGAGTTTCTTCTTGTTTCCCCTACAGGGAATGTTTTCTTAGTGCTGCTTTCTGATCAGGATGAAGCTGTTGGGGGAGAAACAGCACAATCATTGTACAGGTATCTGTTCCCATGTGCCACTGTGTTAGGAAAGCTTAATTCCCAGGACCCGGCTGGATGAGCCTGGGTTGCCAGGATTTTAAGCTGTGAGGTTTGTTGCTCCAGGGAGCATTGGGTAGCGTTGACGAAGCAACGTGGGATGGGAGTGTTCAATGTAAGTGAGGACCAATATGAGTCAAGGCTATATATATTTTCTTAATTAGAGAAAGTTCTGTTTCCTTCCTTTGCAGATAGTTTTCCAGCAGACTGCATGTCTCTGGCTGTAGGTGGGAAAGGAGCAGCAAAGTGCAAATGCCACGAGACGGATTTAATAACTCTGTTAAATTACAGGGAGAGCAGAAAGAGCCAGAGCTGAGGAAAACCTGCCATTAGGCTCCCCAACCAACTTCCCAGACTTGGAAGAGGTAGATGGACACCTGATATTTCAGACATGTGGCACAGCTGAATTTCCAACCCTCTTGAGATGCTTCCTCCTTGCTATTCTCCTCCTTCCTCCATTTCCCTTGGGAAATGCATAAATCCATCACAGACCCAACAATGACTCTGTGTTAGATGCTGTTGGTGGAGGCATGGGGGTTTCAGATCTTCAGGGGAGGCTCCCCAAAGTGCCTCCGTAGGAGCATACTCAAGTCCACTGAGTAGCTGGTTTGCAGTAACCAAATCGCAGCTTATTGCTGAAGTAGCCTCTGCTGGGAAGGACCTGAGTTAGGAGCCTCTGGCAGTTCTCCTGGGGGTAGGTTTCATGCAGACCCCTGCCTGCCAGTGCGCCTGGGCTAGCCTGGGCCACCAGCAGTGCAGTGCTGAAGACAGGGACTGGCTCTCCATCCAGACCCAAACCACAGACAGGGCTTTGTCAGGACCCTCCATGTAACCCCATGGACACATCAGGGCTCAAAGCTGAAAGGGAAGATTTTATTGTACTTTAAAACTCATTGTGCAGTGTCTGATGCCATTTGAGGTAGATATATATAACTGCTGCCTTGGATTATGTTTTCACTAGAGTGGTTTTTCAGTCCACAGTGTGATACTGTATCTCTCACGGCCATTTGTGATGACCACAACCACTGGAAGACCTAACGTACCAATGATTTTAATTTTTTTTTATCTGAATGAACTTGTTTGTTAGCCTGTAAAGGCTGCAAGTGGAAAGCCCTTGTGGCCTGCCACAAGTGCTGGTGATAGATGGGCAAATGAAAGCAGTGAATGAAATGGTCCATTTAATCATTTTCTAACACTGTTGCAAATAAAACACCTTTATTGTTTCCATGGCAGATGCTTTCCACTTATGATGAATTGGTGATGTCGAGTTGATTTATATTTTCTCCCTCTTCTGTTCCTCCTCTTCGTAGGCCAGATGATGTGATGCTGAAGCGCACCCATGATGAGACTGTCCTCTTGCACTGCTTCCTCTGGCCTCTGGTTACATTCCTGGTCGGAGTCCTCATCGTGGTCCTGACCATCTGTGCCAAGAGCTTGGCTGTCAGGGCAGAGGCAATAAAAAAGAAGAAGCATTTGTAAACAGCAAGGCTCCTGGTGGAAAAGAAAAACCTGCAAGAAGGTCTCAAGAGGGGCAACTTGACACACCTGCAGGTCTGCGGGGCACCCAGCTGCATGTCCTTCCAGTGTCTCATCTGACAGTGGAGTTGCTCATGCCTCAGGATTGTTTTTGGGAGACTGCCCCATGAAATGTCAGCTAATTGCTTCTTCTGCTACGACAGTAAATAAGTATATTCTACCAAAAAAAATCTACACTGTACCAAATATGCTGTGTGCTGTTAGTCCCAAACAGCAGCTACCCAGGTCCTAGTGGTATTGAAAGACAATTTATAAAAACCCTTGATATTGCTCGTTTTGTCTCCACAAAGTGATCTTCACTATTGTTTAATATTAAATATTTAAAATATTTACTTTATGATAGACTGTATTTCCAAAATAATAAAGTTCTGTTGTTTGGGGTTTTTTTTTAATCTTTGTTTTATTTTTTGTGCTTTTTTGTTTTTTGTTTGGGTTTTTTTTTTCAAAAAAAGTTTTAAGACAAAAATAAACCTGTGCTGATTTTGGTTTTTTTCACTGTGTAGAACTTAATTTTAAAACTAAAACTTTAACTTCTGTCTAGATGAAATCTTTCATCGTCACCTGTTCATTGTGAAGAAATGTAGAAATCTATCAGAAATACTCCTTCAAAAAGTGAAGCAATTATTGGAAAAGATGATTAAATACTGGATCTAATTTTATTGCCTCAGTAGTATTCAGTCCTTACAGTTTTTCTTGTCCCCTCTCAGTTACTCTCTTCACCAAAATGCTCTCAGGCTGTAAGGAGCAGGGTCTTGGAGTGTTTTTACATGAATACGTTTTATCAGCAATTTCCCCAAATAGTGGAGTGCCTGAGCACTTGCTGAGGGGAGCCTGTGAACCACGGTGTGATGCATGGCACCAGGCTCCCGGGATGGCCAGAGAAGGACAACTCTTTGTAGGGCCATGGGTGTTTGCTGCTGAATTGCCCATCCCAGTCACACCAGCTCCATGTAGGGTCCCTCCAAGGGGATGCTCCAGAAAATGCAAGGCAGGCTGGGCATGGCATCTTGCTGGATCGCCTCACTCTTCTCATCCCAGCTCCTCGCTGGGTACAATTGGAGTACTAGCCCTAGTCCGCTTGCTCAGAGCAAAGATTTCCCTATCTATCTCATAGAATCATAGTTTGGGTTGGAAGGGACCTTTGAAGGCCATCTCGTCCAACCCCCCTGCAGTGAGCAGGGACATCTTCAACTAGATCAGGTTGCTCAGAGCCCCGTCCAACCTGACCTGGAATGTTTCCAAGGATGGGGCATCTACCACCTCTCTGGGCAACCTGTGCTGGTGTTTCACCACCCTCATTGTGAAAAACCTGGCCTTGCAGCACAGTTTTTCCCAGAGCACGTTTATTGCAAGCTGTAATCAGGGGCTGAGACCAGAGTAGCTTGGTGGCACCTGTCCTTGTCCCCGCAAGGCTGTGCACCCCTGGGACCAGCTGTGTGGCTTTGCAAGGCTGGCGCACAGCAGAGAAGCCACATGGCTCAGTCAGGAAAGTGACTCTCTCAGCATCTGATTACTGGCAAAGCATTTTAATCTGTATTAACAATTCTGCAGTTCTAACCATACTGTTCATCGTACTAATCTCTCATATTCTTAGTATTATGTTTAAATAAATGTGTTGTGTTTTGCTGTGCTTTTAACATGCAGGAGAGGTATTTCCTGAGGATGAGGAAAGTGCTAGATTTGAAAGCCTGAAAACTTTCCTGGCACAAGGCACAGAGACAAACCTCTTTGTATTGCTCAGTCTCCATCTCAGATTAATCGTACCGTGTGTTTAAGAATTGATTTCCATACAGCTTCTTATTCTGTAAACTTGTATACTTTGTGAGTGTCGTGGTGCCCAGTGATGAGGGCATCAGGGCAACTGGAGGTCATTCCCCACTCCCGTGCTTACTTGCTATATGACTTTTGGAGAGCCCTCTGGTCCTGGTCCACACCAGGGTAGCTGTTCCTTCGAAGGAAGTTAAGAAATCTGTTTGTGGAGGAAGGAACTTGATGCTTCTCGGCTAGTCACGCTGTACGAAAGAACTGATCAATGTTGGTTGCACATGTTCAAGCACTTCCAAGTCTGTGGATGAAAAATGCTACTTGCATGAAGAATTCCCAATTCTTTGTGTTAAACTTCACTCCTTTGGAGATGCCCGTTGTCAGGCTCATACAGGCACCCTCTGTCTCAGCCTGCCAAAAAGAATAGCACAGGATATACTGGATGAAGAGAGATGGTGAGCTCTCAGCCCGTCAGGTGAAAGCTGACTTCTGAAAGTGCTGTCCTGCAAAGGACACAGCGTTCTGCTTCACTCGTGTCTCGCTGCTGTGGCCTCGCGTGCATCTCTGCGATTCTCGTGCCTCGGCAGCCCACGGAAACATTGCACACATACTTCTGGTTTGGGGGGGGTGGTTACTGTATTTTTTTAGATATTACTTTTTCACAGCCTGCAAATCATAGAAAGCTGCCACTGTGGGGTGGTTTGGTTATCTGGATAAGGTGGTAGCAAGTTCACCTCCTCTGTTTCCTCTTGGTAACTTCTTACAGGTAAGGGGAATAACTCTGATTTTCTGCATATATACATCCTTTGTTTTCCATAAATACAGGAAATACCGCGTGACACAGATTCATCATGGATTTTTAAGCCACTAGCTTGGGGCTCACAAATCCAGATTAACAAAATCCTCTCTAACTTTGCTCCAGAAGCTTTGTGACTGAATCGTGCAGCTGGTTCTCCCAGCAAAAGGCAAGAAGCAAATTGAGTTGATGCAGCTCGCTTGATTGGCAATCGTACCTTTAAATCTGTTAGAAATGCTGTTTGCAAAGGCCTCTGGAAGTAAGTAACAGTTACAAAGATGATATTAAATCATTTTACAGAGAGATTAATATCCCAAGTTAAACATCTAAATTGGCATGCAAAGACAGGCAGTAAGTATCTCCCTGGCTTGGCAGTATGCGATACTGAGGGGAAAAAAAAAAATCCTAAAATTCACTTCTCTGTCCCAGCCTGCACCTTGCTGATTTAGAAATGTCTTTCTAATCCCCACAGTGGATCGTGGAAGCTGGGGATTTCCTTCTAGTGGATTATTCACCGATTTCCCCCTTGGCTTTGTGGCTTTCCAGTGTTTCCGGCATATTCTCTGAAGCGTATTTGCAGCCAGAGTGGCTGCTTTTTCCAGAGCCATCTGCAGAGTCGCCTTTTGCATTTTATTCAATATTTATATGCTATTGCTTTGAGGAATTTTGTTCCATCATGCTGTCTGCTGCTCTGCTTCAGTGAGACCTGCCTTCTCTCTCATGTAGTGCAATTAAATAATTTTGTTTATACAGTATCTTTCTCTGTTAGCCTCTTAGGCTCATTTTAAAAGTTGAAGTAACAGGAGTGGGTTTTGTTGCACTTTTCCTGCTTTGTGTGTTTCTGTGTTGCCAGTAACAGAGAAGATTTCACAATGCATTAGAAAATTTAGCTCCTGAATTAGGAACTTAATTCAATGCCCGGAGCAGATGAGGAATCTCACGGGGCATTTTTGAAAATCATTATCTGTCATTCCTAGTGTAAACGTAGCCCTTTGACTCCAGAACAGTCTGCTGGACTGGGAGGGCTGTTATCACCTGGGCTCTTCGGTAAGCCCTGCAAGATACACGCTGGGAAGCACGGTGGAGAGGTAGCGCGGGTCTCAGTTTCCAGACTCGCGCTTCCAGCTGTGTTTTGAGGGAAGACGCCTGCGAGGCGTGAGAGTGCAGATCTCCCCACGCATCTGCCGCCCCGGCTCAGCCCGTGCTGCCCCCCCAGCCCCGGTGCTGCTGCCCGCAGCGCTTCCCCGGCTGCCCATCGCCTT